ATCACGGGCAAGATGTGCCACATATGGGCATGACAGCCCACAAGTCAACTCGCATGTTGCTAACAACTCATCGAGGCTGGGTTGTCGTCCCCAATCGTCGATTCACATTCAACTACTTTTGATTGAAACCTTTCAACCGAAGACGTAGAACTTCCTACTAAGGGCTCATTCAATGCCGATGATATTAGAGGATTCCTACAAGATTTCCACCCACGGAAATTTCTCCTATGTTATCATTCGTTTTAAAGGAATATAGGTAGTACTATATTCATTATGGTTGTGTCTATATATTAGTGCAAATTCGATTATCAAGCCTCCCAAACGTACAACATGTCTACATAATATGATCTCAATCTATGTCATAATTTCTCGTAATGCTTTGACTGATCAACTAAATATGTCTATACTCATATTTATGTCTTCTCTTAATGAGAAATACTACTTGTCAATCTATGAACCCGGTCTAATTTCCACATAAGAAAACTTCAAATCAATTTTATGTATGCATTTTTATTTGTAGTTATTATTTATGTTGAAAATTAATGGCTCTATTTTTTACCCGTTTTAGAGCTCATTTGTTGCATAATAACTCATTATATCATGTCTCATTGAGACAATTGCCTGTCCATTATGCATGATTTTCAGTTTGCACTAATATTAACATGAGCATTGAATAGTCTTTAGTTTTTGTTAGTTTCTTTGTTTTGTTGTGTGTGTAGGTCATTTGGAGCTGGCAATTGCCACGTCTGGATACCGTCATTAACATGGGACCGGACTGGCTACTTCACCTGTTGGATCGCTGCAGCGAAGATGAGCTCATGAGATTGTGGCGTACATGGCATGTACACAATTAGCTAACACACCAGAAGTCGGCGCCTCCTACAAAAGTCTATCGTCGCTTCCTGTCAAGCTACATTGAATCTCTCATGTGTATCCTCCAACACCCGAACATGGCCGCGACCAAAGGGAAGATGGTTTTGAGTTATGACCACATGCTCAAACACACAACATATCGCTTATCACCAGCAGATAACCTGAGGCCGCCGGGGAACTGGACCAAACTCCCAGACGGATGGTGCAAGCTGAATCTTGATGGAGCTTTTGTTGCAATAGATGGATCAGGGGCAGAGGCACGATCTTAATAATCATCAAGGCATTGTGGTATTTGCATCCTGTCACTACCTGTCGAGGTGCTCCAGCGCACCTGAAGCAGAGCTAGCAGCATGCATGGAGGGCGTGTCCGTCACACTTGAATGGAGCTCGAACCCCTTTATCTTGGAGACCGATTATACCACTGCGACTGCCATGATCACGGAAGCACCGAATACGTTGCTGGGAGAGACTAAACGCTTGCTGGGACATGGGCGTTTACATGTGATATCACATGTTAGGAGAGAAATAAACACTATCAGCCATAGGCTAGCTCAGATGAATAGGGTGACAAATACGATTGTTTGGCTACGCCATGCACCGTTGGAGATCCTCCCGTCATGTAATCTCAACTATAACTCCCCTGGTTGATTGAGTGGGAAGTCTATTTTCACAAAATAAAGTGATTTGGAACTCCCAAGGACTTATCACGATGAAAGAACCAAGATTGGGCTCAATACGGAGGAATTACAAGCACGAGATAAAGGTCTTTCATGGAGTTTGCCAAAAATAGATTGAAGATCCAATATCAGTAAGTTATTGCTCTCATTCACACGAATTGAACTAGCTCAAGAACACCCAAATCGGAGTTCGTATGAGGAGATGATGACCAAATTACTAAGCTCCACGTGCAGCCTCCAAGAGAGAAGGCGACGTGGGGTTCGACTGTACACGGTTGTACCGGAGGTCATACTAGTTGTTCTAAGCAATGGGAATCGTTGTAACTCAGTGATTCTTCACCAATTTCCCCCTGCTTTGTTCCTAATGATCCTTGGACATCAAGGATGGTATTGGGAGAGGTCTAGGCGCATCTAAAGCCCTTGGAACAAAGGAGAGAACAACCACATCCACGGAGTAGACCTATGGAGCCTGGCTATTTATACGTGTCCAACCCTAGTCGCCGTCCATCATCATATCCATCTCTCCCACTTTCGAGTCATCATCCACATCACGTCAAGAGGCATTATGAGGCTCTGCAAGGCCCATTTCCACCCATTGCAACTGAAAGATCATGGATGTCGCCTAGAGGGGGGGTGAATAGGCGCTTTAAAATAATTACGGTTTAGGCTTGAACAAATGCAGAATAAAACTAGTGTTTAATTTGTGAAGCACAAAACCTAAATCAACTAGGCTCACCTATGTGCACCAACAACCTATGCTAAGCAAGATAAACAACTAAGTGATAGCAAGATATATAACATGTCATACTATGGCTATCACAAAGTAAAGTGCATAACTAAATGGCTCGGGTACGAGATAACCGAGGCACGCAGAGACAACAATGTATCCTGAAGTTCAAACCCTTGCGGACATTAATATCCGTTTGGAGCGGTGTGGAGGCACAATGCTCCTCAAGAAGCCACTAGGGCCACCGTAATCTCCTCACTCCCTCGCACAATGCAATATGTCTTGATTCCACTAAGGGACCCTTGAGGGCGGTCACCGAACCCGTACACTTTGGCAACCCTCGGGGGTGTTCACCAAAACCCGTACAAATTGCTGGGGGCGATCTCCACAACCTAATTGGAGACCTAGCCCGACACTTGCCCGGAGCTTTACACCACAATGATTGAGCTCCGAAGCACCACCAATCGTCTAGGGCGCCCAAGCACCCAAGAGGAACAAGCTCTAGGGTACCAAGCACCCAAGAGTAATAAGCTTCTCAACTTTTCACTTCCACGTATCACCATGAAGAACTCAAACCGATGCAACTAATGAAATGGCAAGGGCACACGGAGTGCCCAAGTCCCTCACTCCCAAATCCCACCAAAGCAACGAAAGCTATGGAGAAAAATGAGAGAAATAACAAGAAGGAGAACACCAAAAACTCCAAGATCTAGATCCAAGGGGTTCCCCTCACATAGAGGAGAAAGTGACTGGTGGAAATGTGGATCTAGATCTCCTCTCTCTTTTCCCCCCAAAACTAGTAAGAATCCATGGAGGGATTGAGAGATAGCAAGCTCCAAGGGGCCAACAATGGTGAGGGAGAAACTTGCTCAGATTTCTTAGGTTGGAGGAGGAGGGGGATATAAATACCCCCAAGAAAAATATGACCATTGTACCCCGGGAACCCGGACAACCCAAAGAAAAAGCCACTAAACTCCGGGCGCCCGGGGGAAAACCCTGAGCACTCGGACGAATGATAACCCACAAGTATAGGGGATCAATTGTTGCCTCTTTCGATAAGTAAGAGTGTCGAACCCAACGAGGAGCTAAAGGTAGAACAAATATTCTCTCAAGTTCTATCGACCACCGATACAACTCTACACACGCTTAACATTCGCTTT